CCTCCAATTCTTAGGGGGATTTGTTGGGATGAGTCCTGAATCCTCCAAAATCTTTAGAGGGATGGCCTCCAACCTAAGAGCGATGGCCTCCAACCTGAAGGGATTTGTTGGGATGACTCGGATGATTCCCTAAGTTTCAAGGAGTTTTGCCGACTAAATCAGAGACCAGAAGAAATCCGCAGAGTTTCTTGGATGTGCTATTGGATGGTGATGGTGGCTGAAGACATCCGTCAGTTTCTAATGGGCCAGGGGCTTGAACATCAGGGCCATCCCAGGGGCTTGGATCGCCGATGGAATTTGGATGGACCCCTGTTGGCCCGAGGGATGGACATCCTAGGTCTGAAGAAGGTCGAGGTACGCAAGGCCAGTAGCAACAGAAGATGATTGGGATTGATTGGGAGTTCCATTCCCATGAAATTCCTTTAACCTACATCAGCTGTTTGAGATTCATAATTGTACTCCACCAAAAGAACAACAACAACAACAACAACAACAACAACAGCAACAGCAACAGCAACAGCAACAGCAACACCAACAACAACAACAACAACAACAACAACAACAACAACAACAACAACAACTCCACTCCACCCCCAATTGGCGAAGAAAGATAGTCTTCCCACATTTACCGATGTCAATCCTAGATCCCCAGACAACCCAAAGATAGTCTCCCTCACCCGTTTGTTCTTGTTCTTACTTACAAAAACCATGCTAAGCACTCAAACTCATCACCTCAGCCAACGGTTCCCACGGCCTCAGGAACTTTATGGCAGGGCAACGTGTGGTGGAAACGGCCACAAAGCCCAAGAAGAAATCGCCTCGTGACATGCCCAGCCCGGAGGGGTCGAAGGGATATCCAGACACCACGCGGTCTCCCCCGAATGGACTGGAGGAGGTCCGACCCAGTCGCACTGGGTCAGGGGCTGTTTCGCACCTATCCCGATCGTTTTGGAGGGAGGTTTCACGGAGTCGGGCGTCGTGAAACACGGAGCGTTTGCAAATTTGGGTACCCCCATTGATCCCCATTTTAGAACTCATTTTTTTGGGGGATGTGGTGAATTGTGAATTGGAACGGACCCTTCAGAGTGCAAGAGAGTGAAACGGGACGTCCACACAAGCATTTGTTCAAGACCTGATGTAGATTCTCGGCAATGGTCGTCGGACAGCCTCGAAACTTTCAACCTCAGGCATAGACGTGGACCCTAGCTTTCAATGACCGCTTTTTGAATGGTTGACCAGGGTTTTGGAGTGTAAATTTAGTAAAACAATGGTTGTTCGGGAAGGTTCTCAGATTTTGAGAGTTGTTCGAATCCATTCGAACCCAACAGAGTTAGGTAGGTCAGTCGCGTACCAAGTCTAGACCTACTGCCGCATGGTGGTGTCATTGGCATCGATGCGGTCGATTGCAATCATGGCCCTATAGAGGTGAATGGGTGCGGGTGCATGTCTATATGCCTTATGAAGCACCCCTATTCTAGGGGCCCTGGCTGATATCTAACCTACAAGTGCTGGACACCTAGATGATTGTCGATTGGCCATGGTCCTGTGACCATCCATCGTTTGTTTTCATTCACTCCTGTGGATTCACCGGCAACAGCCTTTGGGGCTACTGGAGATGTCCTCCCCATTCCCCCCCACTTTCACCATGACTTCAGTGGTGGGGCACGCGTGAACTGCACGTTGACGACTCACGACGGCCACTCGGAAGCGCCGGCGGAAGCCGCCCCGCCACGGTGACCCTGCCCAGTGGACTTCGACGATTTGGCGGGCTTTGACGACGCCTCGGATTCCACCTCTGATGAGGAGACAAAACGTTTTGACATATGGCTGTGGATCATGACACCAGGAGACCGACCGGTTGACCTAGCTGGTGTCGGTCGTTCCCGGCAAATGGTGGACTGGTCCAGGTTTTGACCCATCCCCATAAGGGAACAGTCTGAGTCAAACTGCTCTCCAAAGTGCTTCGAAGCCGGAGGGAGGGCTGGGGCCCTTGTGCACCGCCCTTGGGCAGACGGCCAGGTGTCGGGTGTCCAACCACCCAGTGACCTGGACGAAGCGGTGACAAGCGGTTTGACTCTCTTCTACCCGAATAGAGTTGAAATGGTCGTGGATGATGACTACCAGGTGGAGCTAAATACTTGTTTGATGGTAGCAACCAACTTGAAACACCGCACGAGGTGTGCTTCAAACAAACGAAAGGATCTCGAGGAATGCCGCGCCCTTTTCGCGGCCAGCGCAGCCGGTGCTCATGGCGTCATGACGAAGCCCACCCGATCTTCCAAGGGGCGGTTTGTGCCAAAGGAGGCACCAGTGGAAAAGGTGCATGGTTTTCATGCTTGCGAACCTGACGAGTCGGCAATGTGCGGGTGCACATTCACACCGGTGGAAGGGAGTGCTGGTTCGGAAGCACTGCCCTCATCTGGAAAAGTTTCCAGATTTCCTGCCATCAGACCTTCTTCGTCCGATGGAGTGGACATCAAAAGTCGTCCAAGGCGCATGGCGCGCACTTTGCAGGGCCGCAGGCGGTGAACCACATTTGCAGTTCTGTTGCTTGCGCATGCTTGGTCAGCGTGCCAGCACTCGCCCTGCTCGGTCCTGAACATGTCACCGTTCAGGGCCTCCATGAACATGTTCTTTGCTCTTTGCTTGATCTCACCCAGGTACATCTTGCGGATGCGCATCACGTTCTCCTCGTAGAGGTGTCGTTGATCTCTGAGTCTCTTTTCTGCTTGGCCCTTGATGGACTTGCAGAGGTTGTTGACTCTGATGACCTGGTTTCGAAGGCGTTCATTTTCTTCTTCGAGGATCTTTTCTCGCCTTCAGAGCTGCACCAGCGTGAGGAGTGGTCTGTCCTCGTTCGTCTGGGCATAGTTGTCGGTGGTGTCATTCTTGCTCGGTGTTGCCGTAGGTGGTGGCAAGGACCTGCTTCTCGTCCAGGTGGTAGTCAGGAGGTGCCAGATCAAATTGGCCACTAGAGCAATTGCCAGGGTGAAGAGGATGAGGAACATAAAGTTGTCGTTGTTCATGTTGTCGGTGTGGCTTGTGTTGTTGTTGTCTGTGTGGAGTGCCATTGTTGTTGTTGTCATTGAAGCCATCATTGCCATTTGTGCTGCCTTCTTCGGTATGGCATATCTCATCTGGCTCTGCTTTCGCTGCTGCAGTGTTTTCTTCTTTGATGCTGTGAAGTTCGGGTCTGGCCTCAGGCATGTGACGTGTGTTCGTAGTCGTTGAGCTAGTAAGCTCGCTGCTGTGTTCTTTGTCATGCCATCTGCATATTGTAGCTCGCTTGAGACCCAGGAGGTTGTTGCTCCTGTGCATGCTAGCTTGTCACGGGTCACTAAGACCTCTATGCTTGTTTGCTTGTCTGTCTGTGATGCCGTCTGTAGGTCCTGCTTGGTGAGCAGGTCGTACAATGCCTTTGCGTCCACGATCAGCCGTGGACTGTGTGCCAACTTGGGTGTGTGGCTGTCTTCCAAGGCAAGGTGTGGTGACCAAATCAACTTCCAGAAGACTGCTGCGTAGAGGAGGGCATCTGAGGCTTCTGATGCCGCCTGACTCTCTGCTGCCAGGCTTGACCGGGCGACGCGTGGAAGCTTCCAGCTTCTCCAGTCCACGAGGTGGTAGCCGCCTTCTTGACCTGTCGTGACTGAGTGGTGCACGAGGAGGATCAACTGGCCTCCCTGTGAGGTCAGGTCATGTCTGCTGGCGAAGGCTGCATCACTGTAGGCGATCAAAGTGAGGTCTTCTGGCTTTCCAATCCTTTGGAACTTGAGGCCAACATCGCTGTGCTGCTTTGCGAACCTCAGGCATTTGTTTGCCTCACGGAGGGTGGATGTAGTGGCTTTGCTCGTGAGTCCAGCCAGTTGGCTGACAGAGGCTTGGAGATGTGGGCTGCTTTGGGTTGCAGGCCATTGCAATGCCCCAACTAGGCCTCTGAGCATTGTTCTCTGTTTCTCCGTGACAGGTTGGTCGCTGTTGGCGTTGTTGTTGGTGTCCTCAAAGGATATGGGCTTTTGCTTTGCCAAGTAGCTTGTGTGCTGCAGTTCGTAGTGGTGTTGGTTGATCCGTTGGATCTTGGCGCCGCAATACTCTATGTCAGAGTCTTGCTCCCATGTCCGGAAGGTGAAGGTTTGCTTCATCTGGCTGACAAACTTTTGGAAGCTGGCGTTGTCCATGTTTCCACAGCCTAGGATGTCATCCACGTGGAGGCCAAAGAGTCCCAGGAGTGGTGGCTGTCGGACAGTGTTGCCATTGTCATCAGGCCGGTCCAGCCACTGGTCTTCCGAGGCGTCATAGTCATAGACCATGAACAGGCAGGGGTCCAGAGGGTGGACCACAGCACCGAGTCGTGTGACTCGTTCACGAGCCTCGCTGTACCAGGCTCTTGGAGCGTCGCAGAGCCCGTACATTGGTTTTCTCAGCTTCATCAGGGCTTTGTCTACGTCTTGGTCGGTGATGCCCAGCATCTTCTTTGCATCTGTTGGGAGCTTGATCCACAGGGTTCTGTGGCTTGGGTGCTCCTTTCCTTGTAGGAAGGCTGTCGAGACATCTGCTGAAAAGGTGCTCCAGCCAGTGTTGGCAGCTAGGGACATAATGTAGTTGCGTCCCATTCTAGAGAGTGTGGGAGCATCAGTGCTCAGTTGTCCGCTCCAGGCATCCGGATCTCTGAAGCCTTGGGTGATGAGCCTGGCCTTGGCTCTGGGATCACCATTGGGCCACTTCAAAATGAAGTGTGCCTTGAGGATGCGGTCTGGAGGAATGCTGCCATCATCATAGACCAGTTCCCAGACGTCGTTTTGGAAGAAGCTTTCCAGCTCTTTGCGTTTTGCCGCGAGGAATGCTAGCCTGTCTTCAAGGCTCATGTTGCGCTCACTGAGCTGGTCTTTTCTGGCCTTCATGTTCTTGGGTCGTGGTGGTTGTTGTGCATTGTAGGCTTGTTCAGCCGCTTCTGTCTCCTTGTAGGACTGGTGTCCGTTGCTGATGTTGTAGAAGATCTGCCGTGCTAAATGTCGGTAGGCAGGCATGATCTTAAAGATCGTGGATCCTGTCCAGGCTTGTTGTCTGTATGTGTTCTTCTTTTGTTTCCATCTGTCGTACTGATTCAGGTTATCGCTGCCCAGTGTGTGGCGGTCTTTGCTCAGGTAGTGCAGGGGAAGGGGACATCCTGCATCTTGTTCTGTTGGCTCGAAGTAGTGGTTCCTGGGCAAATAGTGTCGTCGAATCAGTTTGTCATCTTTGAGGATCCACTCGTCCCTCGTGTCTTCAAGGGTGAGGTAGCCATTTTCCAGGCGCCAGCCTGGGGGCAGTGTGGAGACGTCGGCCTTGGCCATGTCAGCATCATAGGTTGACTGTAGGAGTGCCATCTCAGGGTCTGGTGCTGGAGGCTTGTTGTAAGGACTTGAGGTTGACCTTCTGTCTTCAAAGACTTCTCTGTTCGGGCGATATCTGATTCGGCCAGTGGCGCTTGGGGTGTAGAAAGACAAGGTTTCTTGTCGATCAACTCGTGCCCTCTGTTGTTGGAATGTCTCTCTGGTCTCAGGTGCACGGTACAGTGCCTGTTGGTGTTCCGGCACTGGTGCAGTGATCTCTTGTTCGATCACACTTGGTGGTGGCTCTGGTTCTTCACCAATGCTGGATGCCGGAGGTCGTGTTGTGTCTGCAGCCATTGGTGGTGATTCAGGTGCCTGTCCGCTGTTGTCAGCTCCTGTTGTGTTTGTGCCGTCTTGTTGACTGGCATCTGGGGCGTTTGTCATAGGATCTTGATCCATTGGCTGTTGCTCACCTGTTGCGTCGCCAATCGGTGGAGTGGTCATCGCAGGGGCTGGTTGCCGCCGGTCTGTCCGCAGGATGAAGGTTGTAGTTCCAGTCCAGTGGAATGGCATGCCTCTGCTGGCGTTTGGAAGTCGCCAGTCATCTCGCATCACGGTGCGGTTGCTGTAGGGCTGATCTGGGCGTCGGATCGTGGTGGTTCTTGAATCTTGGAAGTCGCGCCATGGGGCGTGTTCATCGGTTGTGGGTACATAAAGTGTCTGCCGTGGTCGAACGTGGACGCGTGTCCAAGTGAGACCATCTTCATCGACGTCCCAGTGATCATCAGGCTCGGCTGGAGCTGGAGTGTCAGCGATGGCGTCAGCCATTGGTTCCATGATGTCATCTTCATCTTCGGTGACCACTTCAGCGCGCTTGCGCTTGTTTGTTTTGGTGAGGTCCGTGTATAGTGTGGTGCTGCGGCCACGAATCTGGTCCAATGCTTGCTTGGCTCTTCGTGTTGGCTCTGTCTCGTCATTGTGGTTGAGGTCTGGTCGCAAGTGTTCACTGGACACTCTGAGGAGTGTGGTGCCATGTGCGACCCAGTAGGTGTTGGTTGTTGGTCCTGTGCGACCGGGTTCTGTCATCACCACAACTGCAGGGCCTTTCCATCGAAGTTTGGGTCCTGCTCCACCTGGTGCGTCTCTCCAATAGTAGACGCGTTGGCCGGTGGATATAGTGGTACTGGATGGCCTGATGCTGTCGCAGCAAGGCGCGTCGCAGTCGGGCATCATTGTCGGCCTCGATCACGGCGATAGCCGCTTGCTTCTGGAGGTGCAGCTTCTGTTCCATGGCTTCACTTGGTGTCAACTGGGCGGTCGTGAGGTCGTGGTCCATGAGAACTCCTGGTATGCGAGGCTGCATACCCATGGCCCATTGTGTGGCACTGAAGCCTTGCACATTTGAAGTGTTGTTGATCTGGGGCACAACATAGCAGAGAGAGCGGGCAATCTGGTCTTGGATGGTCATGTTGACCTCGGGTTGATGTGCTAGGA